CTAGAGATAAACAAAATTTCATCATTTAAATTAGCGAGGGATTTAGTGATAGTTTAGCCACAAAATTTGAGAGAGAATACATCTGTATCTAATTAGCTACTTGGATTTAGCTACAGACTATTCCATAGCTAATCCGTAGCAAAACATACTAGCAAGAGATTAGTTATAAAATAACTACCGAATATGTCATAGCTAATATGTAAAATTCTTGTAGTAAAATAATAAACAAGTTGCTAAACTAATGCAGTATAATTAACTCGTGTCGAATCTCACAAGAACACAATTATAGGAACATACTCATTATCACATATTATTTTCTCTAAAACGAGTAAATAACAATAAATAGGGGGTGAATGAAAGAGTGAAAAAGAAATAAAAATTGATGCAATATAATAAAAATTAAAATCAAATTATTATAAAATATTAACGAAAATTAAAATTAAATGAAAATAAAATTTAGATGGGGTTTATAATTTAATTATAATTATGAATCCTAAAACTAAAAAAAAGACAAATAAGATGTGACACATGCATTATTTTATTTACATTCAATATATGCTTAATCTTTTGACATATAATCCCATTCGTTCATAGTATCTTCAGATCACCAAGTTCCATAGCCAAATTAATCAAAACTATCAATGAACTTTAGTGACAATACCATTATCAATTGGATGACAAAAATTAAAAAGCACGTCTTTATTACAATTTTCACTATTTTTTTGGCAAGTATTTTGACTGTTTGTTTTATGTTATATATATTTTTTATAGTTGGATTTATAATACATATATACCAAATACATGCTTTATTTAAAAAAAAAGGTTGAAAAAAAAAAGAATTCTGTTTCTGATTATGGGATTATACTTATGAAAACGGATTAGCTTTAACAGTTCCATTGTATTAATTGTCCAAACCGTGTTATCTTTCTGATACTTTGGGCCCCAAAATGATTATATGGGCCTACATTTGTAAAGCCCAATTGGCAAGCCCCATCCACTTCATGACTGATGCCAATTTGTCGTTGACTCATAATTCTAAGTTTTCATATTTCATATTTCAAACTCTTCATTATAAGTTTTTGTTCGAAGCTTTTGTTCTTAACATTCAACTAACAGTAACCAAACCGTATAAAAATGTTTAATTTTTTTCTAAAATTACCGATCTGAGTAATTTAAATATATATATATATATAAATACACAAGTTATGTTTAGAAAGACATTTCACAACAAAGAAATTGTTATTTTAAATAGATTTTGTTTTTATTTTTACTTTTAATGTTAAGTCATACTTTATAACATGGTTTTATTTCTTTTAATTAATATGAAAGTGGTGTTAAAGAGCATAAAATTAATAAAAGCTGAAATATTAAACTCTGGCGTAATTTAATTTAGATTAATGTTGTGCGTAATTTATACCAAAGTTGTCCTTTTATAAAAAAATTAAAATCATATTTTAACAATTTCGAAAATAAATATGTTTGGTGCGTAGAAATACAAGGAGTATGATAAGGTGAAAAACCATGACTTCAATTATAGATTGACTCACATTATAAGTCAATTTGAACAAGTTAATCAGATTGAATTAAAATTAATTTACTTTAATTTAAATTATTATTTTCCATTTCATTTTATTTGTTTTACAAACTATTCGGATCACATATATTTTGTCAATTCTATTTTAGGATATGTTAAAAGACACTAAGATATCAAGATGATTAGTTAAGATGTTTTAACCGCTATCACTTAGTTTGAAGATTAAAAAAGAAAAAAAAAACGTAATAATAGAATTTACAATCTATTTTTAATGCTCACGTGGATTATAATTTATAATCTATTTTGTTGTTTCATGTGGAGGAATCTCAACTGTTCCAGTAGTTTGGTAGCTAGTGGAAAATTAGATAGTTACTATCTAAATTATTAAGGTGTGATTAACTGTTAATTGATTTAATTAAGATGAAACTTAACACTTAACATTCATATCTCAATTATTAAGGTAGGGTTTATACGTCTGTGAGACAATTTTAATTTAGATGAAACCTTTACAGTAGCATCACATCTTTTCAGTGACTTGACTTGGATTTCAGACCAAGAGTAACCCTAATTAACACTATCTACTGTATGCTAACGTTGATTGGTTGACTTGCCTCTTCAATCTAACACTTAAAATTTGAATTTATTTATTTATTTTACTTTCAGTTGAATGAGTCTATTGTAATAAAAGAAAAATTTTCATTTCAATATTTAATCTAATTAACTCAATATCTAATATTCAAGGTTTTTAATATTAAAATAAAATAATCTCACATCATTAGAAAATATTTATGGACTTGCTATGTACACACCTAAAAGGAGGGAATTATTTTTCTCTGTTGTTATCTGGGTAGAACACCTTGTTAGAGTAATTAAAATCAGAAATTAGGATCAAAGTTGAGTAGACAAAATAAATGGGCATGCATCCATGAACCATCACTATCTTCAACAGACTATTGAATGTTCTCAACCAATTAACTAACTAACTTGCAGTCAATTTGTCAATTCCCTGCAAGATTTTTGGGGGAGAAATTAATGCAACTCAGTGGACCTACTAAAATAAATAACTACTAACAAAAATTGTTTTAGTGTTAGCATAAATCTATGATATATTTACATGAATAGATAGATTGGTTTTATTTTTGCAAAAGTTAATGAATGAGAAAATGACGAGTTGATGATGATAGTAATTAAAGTGAATGTTTTTAGTAAGCATAAGCATGACCTTGACATGCCTCGAAGAAAGAAATAAACTAAAGAGAGAAATGAAATGTGATCCAAAATGGTGGAGATTCGAAAAGCTTGGATAAAAAGAACCCACATTGGATTCCAAAGGATAGATACAAGAACAAATCTGAAACTGGATATGCATGGTCGCAAAGGTCTAATTCGTGATGGGTCCTATTTCCTACACGCCTAAGGTTGGGTTCATGGAATCAATGGAACCTTATTCATTTTAGTGAACCAAATGGGTAAAATGGCCAATTTATGTCCCATATATAGCTTTAGATTTGGGTTTGGAATAAAGATAGATTGAAAAGAGGGATGTAGTAAAAGAAAAGGGACATTTGCAAATTCCATTTCGTTAGTGGGGGTTTCAATGCTTCACCACTTTCCCTACACACAATAGTACAAATATGAGGGGCGACACGATAAATCCTTCCCAATATAACTTTGCATTAAATTCCTCCAACAAAATGATATTTTTAGGGCAACTGTACCAATGACCTACAAATCAAGCTATCTTCATTACTTGTCAATTATTGTTCATATTTAGACACGTGACAACAACTCAAAAGAAATGTACAATAAGCACTTACGTTTAATGTATGTCATGGACTATGATAATGTCAATCACTTCAGTTGTGGAGTTATCTCTCGCAAATTAAATCACCTTTCACAAGCTTTTCTAGTTTCTCATGCCATTCTTTTTATCCAATACGAAAGCTTGTCAATCTCATATCACTGTGACTCTTGAGCTTGTATGCATGTCTTTTCTATAATCTTTCCCTTCGTCTCAAGGCGCTTTTGGGATTTGGGTGTCTTAATAGTTATTTATTAGGGTAACAAAAGAAAACCCTACTCAAATCAACCTTAATCATAATATTATTCCTACATTTCTTTTCCCTGCACCATTTTAGCATCTTTAACAAGAAAAAGATAAATTTTCATCTCTCCTTTATCCTTAATAAAATGCATAGACAATAGAATGTGAGAAAGTGTTATAAGACAGAACACAAAAGGTAAATTTTTGCATTCTATTTCATTCAATATTATACCTACTTTTCCTTATAACATGAACATGTATTTAAAAAAGGTCATAATTAACTATAAATATTAAATTAGTTGCAATGTTAACAATTCAAATTTTATAATATATTTACGTCCAGAAAGATTTGCCTAGCCACCATTCTGATTTGAGACTTAGTCTTACAACTTTATTCATGGAAATATTATGTCTAAGACAAAAACAATAGTCTTTAAGAAATAAGGAAGAAGAAAAGAATGTATATTATTATTCATAAAAATTAGGAATAAAGGCTGAAATATTGGCAAGTGAATTACATGGGTGAAGATACTTTCCAGTATTTGCGCTGCACAGTGGCACTCTATCATCCATCTCTAACTTTCTCTCTCTACAAATGCCACTACTTGCCTTCTACTCACCCAAGTATTTCCTCATTTTTATTTATATAAAAAATAAAATAAATTATTTTGGATGTGTTTTACATTTTGTCATCTCCCTCCATAGTCTGCCACTGTCATCATCACTTTTTCTTCTCGTCTCTATTATTTACAATATCCAGACACATAATGCAACTTATATCTCTCTCTTCATCTTCTCTCCCCTCTCTTTGTAGCTTGTGAACCCAAATGATCTTTTTTTTTTTTTTTTTTCAAGAAAAGAAGAAAGATGCCGAGTCCTATTTGGGAATTGAGATTGTATTAGGAAATTGAATATATATCTTCTGCTTTCGATTGCATGCTGGATTCTCTTGATCAATTGCACACTCACAAAGAGAGAGAAAAGAGAGGGGTGTCTGAAATAGTTGTGCAGAGTTGCTCAGACAAGCAATCCATGGCTTAGATAGATAGCGACATGGAGAATAACCCACCACCCCCACACCTCCACCACCATCATATATCCCCTCTTCACGAGATTAGTTTACCTTTCTTTTTACCCAAAGAGAATCAATTATATATTCCTTTCTCTTTCTACATGTCTCTGCCACCTCACTAGCATGCTCCCTCCTCGATAAGTTTAACAATTTTTGCACTTGTAGCTGTGCTAGCTTATCATCTTCTTGGTCTGTTCCTAGGTGCAAAAGTGGCTTCTTGTGGAACCAAAATAGCAAATAGCTAGGATTTAGAAAACAAACAAATAAATCAAGACAAGAGAATATAACATCGTATCTCGCTTTTCTTCTTTTTCACTCCCACCCTGTTGGAGTTTTTCTTCAAAGGCAGTATGTTCCCCACGGCTATTTCCAATTCAACTTCTTTGTCCGAGGATGCCAGTGTTTCTTCTGGTACAAAAGTTCAGGACCTGGGAGTATTCAGTCACGGCCTCTCTAAGATTTCTCCTCAACAACAACCTCAAAAGATCAAGAAAAAGCGAAGCCTCCCTGGAAATCCAGGTACACTTAGTTATCAATTCACAATTAATAATCCACTTCTTTGAAATCTATAACATGCATATCTACCAACAAGATTGGTTTATAAGCAAAGACAAAGATTCATTTGATAAGAAGGTGAGTTTGATTTTTTTTTTTTTTTTCAGTGTAAAAAGTCGTTTTGGTAAGTAATCTGTGAATACCTTGTAAATAATTTTTGAGCTGGGAGACCTTGGTGTCAGGACTCAACTCTTTAGAATAAAAAATCTCTTCGGCATATATTATATCCTTCAGTTGATCAGTTTAAATTAATATTAATTGATGATGGTGTGCGTGTTTCAGACCCAGATGCTGAAGTGATAGCCTTATCTCCGAAGACCCTTTTGGCCACTAATAGGTTTGTTTGTGAGATCTGTCACAAGGGTTTCCAGAGAGATCAGAACCTGCAGCTTCATAGGAGGGGCCATAACCTCCCATGGAAGCTGAAGCAAAGGAACAGTAAAGAGGTAAAAAAGAAAGCCTACGTTTGCCCTGAACCGTCATGCGTTCACCACAACCCTTCTAGGGCCCTGGGGGATCTCACAGGAATCAAGAAACATTACTGCAGAAAACATGGAGAGAAGAAGTGGAAATGTGAAAAGTGCTCAAAGATATATGCGGTTCAGTCAGATTGGAAGGCTCACTCAAAAACCTGTGGCACTAGAGAATATAGATGTGACTGTGGAACCCTTTTTTCCAGGTAATTATTAACATGCCCTTAATCACATATACCCAATTAAACGATCATGCCTTCGCCTTCATGTTTTACTTAAATTGAAATCGGTCCAGTCTTCCCCCTTCCTTCATTGACATCTTAAATTTTGATGGGTTTGGTATCCATTTTCAATGACTTCACTTATTAATTAGTGTACATGCAAGGACACTTTTCTTTTCTTTTTAAAAAAAAAAGAGACATGTTCCATAATATATATATCAGAATGCTATCTTTAATATTTTTATTTTACAGTGGATCTTTTAGTTTTACACAAGAATATAAGAATGGCATTCACAGGTAGCACGAAAGTGGGACATCATATTTCTATTTCAACAGAGATTAAACCTTACTTATCTCTAAATCCTAAAACTGCCAAATGAATATGCGGCAATGACCGAAAAAGCACAATTCACGTATCTTTTGTTTTATCTACTGTATAGTCTGTGACTCAATAGCAATTTTGAATCTTTAATTATTTTTCAAAAATAAGAAAAGAAAACATGTGATGCATGCACATACATGAAGGGCATGATAATGATGATATAATACTATTTCTGTATTATTGTCTCCCTGGAAAAGGTTTGTTTTTTAGACTATACAAAATTTTCAGTGTGTCAGATAGTGCTCAATTGTCTTCTAGAATATTTGCAATCCCTCTTTCTCCCTCTCCATGTACATTTGCGCGTGTGCAAGTGGCTGCATACTCAAAAAATGACGATGGAGATTTATTTTTGTCTACTAAAAAAACAATATGAAAGACACAATTGGTGATGATTTCTGACTTTCTCCTTCTCTTATTTTTTGTTTTATTGAGATGATGTGCATTGTTTCTTTCAATTTTCATCATTGTGAAACCTGATAAATCTGCAAAATTATCAGATATGCCAAGTTGCTTTCTTTCTCCTAGCTTCATCGGTGAACGGGATCGACTTCAATATCATATATTTTTGTGTCTTGCATTGCATGACAACTAGTTTCCAAAAGCTCATTAACATTTAACATCCAAACAATATATACATCACCAACAAGTAATATCCATCACCACTATGAGCCAATATATACTTATAAATTACTCTTTGTGTATGTATAGCCATGCTTATTTCTTCATGTTCAAAAAGCATAAGTGTGTGTCCATCTGTATAGAGTCAGTTCTCTCTCCTACTTTAATTTTGACCAAATAACGACATAGTATCTCCTTTGGTCCAAGGCTTTGACACTTCATTCACTGTGGACTCGCCCTCCCATGCATGATATCCCTCACCTTTTTTGCAAACGGGACACAGTACTCCATACTCCAAGACGTAGAAATAGATCTCCTAAAATAAAATGCTCCAAGCATTTATTTACTTGTTAATGTTACTCTTTCAGAAAGCCTTGATAATGTTAACTTAAAATGGACACCACCATTCACACATTCACACTTCTCACTTTCAAGTGCAATCCAAAACAATAATGCAATAGTTCTCCTATTAATTCATGCCTTTCTTGCACTTGTTTCTATATTTTTTAAATGCTTTAGATCTCATGCGGGATAGCTTTACCTCACTCTAAATAAATAATAAATTCTACTAAATTCAATGTTGCCTCAATTAACATATCTTATAAACTTAACTCACTCCAAATTATAACAATATAAATACTCTGTTGCTCTTGTTATTCGGTGGTGAACATAATACACATCTTCATGTTTTATGATGTGAAACCGCAGGAAGGACAGCTTCATAACTCATAGGGCATTCTGTGATGCATTGGCGGAAGAAAGTGCAAGACTATCAGCAAATCAATTAGCCGTTGCAGACACCACCAGCACAAACCCATTCCAATCCCTCTTTCTTTTCCAAAACCAACAACAGAACTTCCAAAACCACCATATTACCAGTTTGAACCAATGGGACTCCTCTAAAGAAAACCCTAACCCTAGCGGCATTGCCACTTCCCTCCGCATCAAACCAGAATCTCAAACTTTCCACAACCCTACCCTCTCTTCACTTCTCCAACAACAAGAGCAGCAACACCCCAACAAGTTCACGATAACCTCACCCTTCGGGAACCTCCACGTGTCCTCACAAGTCTCCAACTATGCCACGTCAGCATACATGTCAGCGACTGCGCTGCTTCAAAAGGCTGCAACCGTTGGAGCCGCTGCCATGACGGGCCCAGGCCCTGCTGCTGTTGGGCCTCAGCGCGCAATGGGTCACGTGACTCAGCTTGGCGCAGGCGAGTTCGGAACAGTGTGTGAACTCGACCCGGTGGTGGTCCCGGATAGCTACATGAGAGGGTTCCCCGTTCGGAGCCTCAAGAGTGACCATCTCACTAGGGACTTCCTCGGACTCACGGCAGAGCCTAACGGCGGAGTTGAAGGCAGCTCGGTTGACGTTAGCACGAACGTGAAGGATATGCTGACGTTCGCAGGGAGTGTAGAGTACCACCAACCTCACCGTCAGCATCACCACCACGCCCTTCTCAAACCCCAGCAAGGCTTCGGTTTCCTTGGGACAACCACTGCCCCCGATACGTGGGGGAATTGTTGACACAAACAATAAAATAATTCCAAGTCACGAGGGTAAAATAGGCAACTCACTTTGCTATGATAGCCCTCTCCCTTGACTCTTCCATCGTCAATCATCAATCTGTTTTGGTTTTAACACCTGTTTTTTTCTTTTTCAACCCCCTTTTAGACTTCGGGACTTTTTTCTTTTTTTTTCTTATTGTGCTCTCTCAATTTAAATCAAGTAACCATGCTTTAGTTAAGTTTTTTTTTTTCCTGAATCTTAATATATTTGGTGCTTTCTTGTCATCATGAACTCCCTCTGTGATGTAAGTTTTGTTGCGGACATAATTAAATATAAAATCTGTTTCTTCAATTTGGAGCTGACACTTGACGAAGTAGAATGAATAAAGTTTTTTTATTTTGGTTAAAAATGTGAATGAGAATTAGGTAGTTTGTTTGCTTAATATTAGTGGTCTAGTAATGGTACGTAGTTGATATATTGGAAAAGTAGAGACAGAGTGTGTGGTTTGTGTGCGTGCATGTATGTGTTGGTTTGATGAAGATCAACGATGGTGGCCTGGACCTTTTTGTCAGTATGCAACAGCCAAAATGTCACATGCAATCAAATTATTATTGATTAGTCTTTAGTTGTTGTTATCACTACCCATGTCCTATCTTTATCTCCACACCTTTTCATCTGAGTTACCTACATACACTACCTTTGCCCTTTGCCTCACACTACTTCCCCCTCTCTCAACATTATTCAAATATTCATTTTCAGCTCCATTAGGTAAGAAGTTGCATTATCGTGGAATATATTCATTTGGAGCAAATATAATTCCATAATCTTAATAACATATAATTAAGAATACCTACCATAATCTTCTTCTTAATATAGGATATCATATAGATACATTTCAGGTTTCTTCGGCTTCACATATATTTTCTTCCTACATCTTTTCATATCATATATTATTATATTTATCATTTTTCTCTCTTTATTATTTTATTCTTTCTTTTCTTTCACTTGTATGCCTTAGAAATGAGGTATATGATCATAACATTTTTCATCAAGTTGTATTCGTCATATAAATAACAATTCAACATTTTTTGCAATAATACTTTTGTTTTTGTCTATTCCTTTCTATCATATCATTAAAAAAATTGTAAGCAATGGGCTTTAAAAGTTGGTCACATAATTAATTATCTCATGTTACATTTTCTTTCTTTTTATTATTATAAATCTTGTTATATAAATAAATAACATTTATTTTCTCTTTTTAGTATTTGTAAATATGTTTCTCTAAACCTTTATTTGGTTAGATAGTAAGAGGAGAGAAGATGAAAATAACTTGTGTTGTTTGAGGTGGAAAAAAGAAAGTGGAACTAATTTTAAAAAAGTGACACCAGAAATTTATTTCCTTCATTTATTTTTATTTCTTCATCTTTTTTCTGTTTTTTTTTTTCAAACTTGCACTATTTATTTCTTTTCTATTTTTACTTGTTTGTTTTGCACCAATCCTATTTATTTCTCTTTCACCAAAGAAACCGTTGAAAATGAAACAGTAATGGTGTAGAGTAGACGAGGCATATATGAGGATGTCACTAATGTCGGGGATAGTACTCTATGTTAGACTTTATGTCATTTTCTCTCCTTTACACTATTTATTATCTATATGTACTCCTATTTCATACTTTGTTATGTGTATATCTTTAAAAAACAAAGAACATTGAATGCATAAAATCAAGAATTTCAGTGACTGAAAGTGATCATGGGATGACCAATACAGAACAGAGATTAGATTCGTTATGGTTATTGGGAGGCAAATTTCTTTGTCGAGCTGCACAAATCAAACAATAGTTAAAATGTATTCTCTGTCATTGACTTTTAAGATTAACAGTGAAGGCACTGCTAGGTAGTCCTTCAAGCTCACGAGTTGGGAATGTGTGTGCATGTATTGCTCTCATTTCTGTACTTTTCCTCTTTCGATATATTATTAAAATAATAATAAGAAAATAACATAGGTAATTAATGTTTAACTTAGTTTTGCTGTTGTCCAGCTTATGTTAAAAAAGTGAAGCTATTTTGGATGCCACATCTTCTGTCTTTTTCGACACCATGAACAACACTTGTCTCCATAAGGGTCATGCTGCCCATTATGATTTGAACTTCACAAAGTCACTTTCGTGAATCATTCGTTATACGGACCAAAACAACTCATCTATGCTATGCTATATATCTGTGCAAAATTCAAATCCTAGCCCGTGAATTATTTAGGCTATAAAGGGATGTAGTCACCACCCAACGTATTAACAGAACTATATTAGTTTAATAAGAGTTCTGAGTCTCTGCACATTTTGTTGCCCAAATCATTAACCAAACTCCAAGAAATTCTTTTCCTCGTCACTTTTTCTTTAGGAAAAAAAATGATAGTTTCCAAGAATTGGAGCCTTTTGTAAAGCGGATCCAAATAAAACCTGCATTGATTTATAAGCGTGAGTGGAAAGGTAAACTACTTAAGGTGATATGTGTATTTGTGCAGAGTGTGCTGGTGGTCCGTGATGCATAGGGGGTACTCATTTAAAAGGAAAAAAAGAAAAAGAAGAGGAAAAAATAAATAAAGGGAAAGATAAATGTCAACGGTTGCTCAATGGAGCTTTGAATTGAAAGTTCTGAATCACAATTCCCAGCCATCTTTCGTCTGTGTCCTTTATCAAATACTGTGCACATTCCCACATCGAAGCCTTTCAATACCAACTATTTGCAAATGCACTTCAACATAATGCAATGCTATCAAAATTTGCTTTTTATAATTTCCCAAGGATCAACATCTTGTCCATGGCACTTAATTGAATGTCTAGCTATACCTAGCTTATCTTCGGAAATCTCCTCAAAATGAAGTTCAATTTTGCACATGAAGAGAAAGTTGGATATAACTAATAAAACTCAAAAGATTCTTCAAAAAAGTTGTTAAAGTAACCGTTCCATGCTGCATGATTTAACCTAGGGTAACAAAAAGAATGGAAAAAGTTTGTAGTGATTAAACCTCAGTATGTTCAGTGGAAGAAGTGTAGGGAAAAAGAGCCTGGGGATTAACTAAAGGAGATGATGGAGTTTGTTTTATGGTATATCTATCTATCTATCCGAGCTTTTAGAAAGGATAGTTATAAGTTGCAGGGTTAAGGTACAATACATCCAATTTGCCTACTAAAATTACTGTCTCTTTTCATACCCCTCTGCACCACAAAGAGACAAACCAAAAGCCTCTTCTTTTTCCTCCCCCTTCTTCTTGCATATGTCAGCTTCCACTACCAAATCTCATTTCAACTGTCCCTTTTCTTTTCTAATCCTAATAATTACCATTTCGAGTGCTTCTTCCTTCCAATGCATATCCCATATACTCCACAGATATGACAGAAACACAAGTTGTCATGAAATGCCACTATAAGGTAATAAGTAGTATCTCCGATGGTGATGTTTTTGTCCTGCAGCTTTAAAAACCAATCTTCAAATAGATCCAAAACTTCATTTCTAATCAATTGACTAAGTAAATTTGTTAAGGTCATATCATATGTATTATTTACAGAAGATAATTGCGATCAAACTTAATACAACTGTTGTAGACAACTTTGCAACCCTTTCCATGTTATTCCTTTTTGAAATCGCCGATCTTGATGGGTCTCACCTCTCATTTAATGGCTCTTTCTCTTGATTTAGATGAAGGACCAACAAAAATTGATGATTTTTAATAAATTTCAGTAAATTATATATAAAAGGAGTTTTAGAAAAACAGTTTCCCACTATTGTGAAAAAGTCTCACATTATTTATTTTATATTATTTGATATAGTTTAGATATATGTTATATTATTTTACCTATTATTTATGTTGGAACTTTAATATAGTATACCAGTCATAGTCGTCTCATATCATAGATTTAGTTTAAATACACCTTAGATTACTGCATATATTACCCTTGATCTTTAACTCTAAGAATCTTTTTGTATTATATGATTTTATTTAAAAAATGGAGTATAACATGAAACATCCCATTACGAAAAGGTACCATAGGTGTAGATTTTACCATAATTAACCTGTTTTGCTACTGCAGCAGCGGATCTTGTCCATTGATCTTAGATGGGCTAAATAATATATTATTAATAAATAATAAATAAATATAAAATGAAGTAAGAAAATGAAAGGGTGAAAGTATAAAATTGTAAATATATATTTAAATATATTAAATGATCATTAAGTTTGAGGGGACAAAATCATAAATTATATGAAAGTTACAAAGCGAGGAGGGGTTGAGAGGATAAAATTGTAAATATATAAGTAAATATATTAAATGTTCATTAAGTTTGGGGGTCAAAATCATAAATTACGTGGGCGTTACTAAAGCTTTGAGGTACGCCCTCAATTCCCAAGAAAATCCGTCACTAACAAGAAAATCCGTCACTAACAGTATTTTGTCCCGCTATCCAAACTAAAGCAGGTCTGTGAGGTCACTGCTCTATTCCTGGCATGAAATCAGACAAACTTTCTTTACCGCATACTTATATTTGTCCCTCATCTTGTTTTTCTTGGTCCACCTCATTTGCGGTTAAACATCAAGAATTTCAACGGAAAAAAATTCATTTGGGTCCCTCAGTTTGGTACAATAAATTAGTTAAGTCCAAACTGACAATTTTGTGTAATGAAAGATGAATCTTGGAACTAAAGAAGGAACTTAGTAAAATTTCAATCTGTTCAAGTTACATTCAATTCAACGCATATTAATCAGATATCGTTTCTACAATTTACTTACTTTGACAAAATTGTCTACATTAGTGATCTTACTGAACTGTTAACACTGACAAACAGAAAAGTACAAGGCAGACAAAGAAAAGCTTCTAATTTCAAATATGCATCAATTTCCTCTTCGGAGATACCTGGTAGGCCAATTCATCCACAAAGTTTCACTTCACTAAGCATCTATATTTTACCTAAACTTTGAGCTTTGCACATTTGCTAACATTCGCAATACAATATTACACTATCT